CTAAAGAGCTTGGAAAGAAAAGCGTCTGGACTTCTTTATGTTGCTTGAAGACGTTTCACCTCTCATCCGAGAAGCTTCTTAAGTTCTAAGGGTCAAATGGTGGAAAGTTCCAGATTTAAGTCCTAGGGGAGTGTCATGAACCCCATTTTGATCCTCTACCTAATCACACGAGCCAAGGTGTGAAAATGAGTGTAGGTCACAATCAGCCAAGGTTTCGGGTGAGCTCATTGCGAAACCTAGCCCCACCCAATCATGTGATTTCCTGAGATTTCCTGAACAGGGGGTTCATGACCCCCTTTTGGGGACACTCCCATAGGGCTTAAATCTGGGACTCTCCACTATTTGACCCTAGAACTTAAGAAGCTTCTCGGATGAGAGGTGAAACGTCTTCAAGCAACTTAAAGAAGTCCAGACGCTTTTCTTTCCAAGCTCTTGACTGAGAACCTTTCCAGATACATTCAAATATATTGTACAACAAAGAGCCACAGGATCAGATGCAAATAAATTTGATTTGCATAATAAAATCACACCTCATCTTGTACTTTTTGTTTCTTGTATTATGCTGGTGTGTTGTAGATTTTCTTTATTTCAGTTTGGATTCAGGTATCAAACAACCTTTTTAAGATTAGGCAAAAAACTTTCTTTTTCAATAAAAAAGGACCCTGAATCCTTCCTTAGTTACGCTGCAATTGGGCTACGCTGCTGGCTTCCCACGATGCACTTAGTGTTTCCTCTTCCTCACCATGTGTTTATGCACCACTCTGCATTTAACCATTACTCATTACTACCCTCTGGCATCCTGTCTCCCTCCCCTCACCCCCGATGGTTGTGGCAGATGTCTGCCCCTCCCTGAGCCTGGTTCTGCTGGAGGTTTCTTCCTCTTAAAAGGGGAGTTTCTTTTTCCCACTGTCGCCAAATGTAACCTGACTGTTGTGGTTTTCAGTGTTATATTGTATGGCCTTTACATTATAATATAAAGTGTTTCGAGGCAACTGTTGTGATTCGGTGCTATATAAATAAAATTGAATTGAATAATTATGATGTGCGTCTTCTTCTCAGTTTGTTAGCAGCAATTATGTTTTCTTATTATTACTATTATTTTTATTGGCCATTGAACTAAGTTAATTCAAGGAATGGCATGATGTGCTGACCGTAATGCAATCCCATTATCATTTAGCCAGAAACATCCCAAAAAGTTGATTACTTTTCATCAATTGTTTAAAATTCCATACACACCAGCTGCATCAGCACATCTTTTATACACCTAAAACTTTCCTATAATTTCAAAACTTCTATATTAACAAGCATATTTTATTTAAGCTGTCAAACTGTGTCTGTTCTTTGAATTGTTGCGGTAACAGACTCATAAATGACTAAACTTGTAATAAGAAGTCCACTAGGTTTACAAGAAACGGTGGATCGATTCCAATCCACACAGTCTTATCGCCACAGGCTAAAGATGGATAAAGGTCGGCAGCATCAGTGAGGGGGCAAATTTCTCCAGCTGACTGGACAGGTCGCACCCCCAGGCGTATGGCTGCGCTGAGCGGGGGGCTTTCCCCTCATGGCCGAGAGGTTTGCTGGACAAGGATTTAGGGTGAAATATCGCGTTTGTTTATTATTTTTATCATTGTTTATGCATCAGAAGTTGTTCAATAAACCATATTTTTCAGCCACAGTGAAGTTAAGAAGAAAAACCACTTGTTCTTGATTGACCGATCACTACATCTCTGCATCTTTACCTGACTTTTTGCAAACTGCGTCACAATTATTGTAAAATCCCATACATATCAGCAGCATACTTGATAATAACAACACCTTTTGTTTTGTTTTTGTGCATACATTTGGCATAGTGCCATTACAGGCACACTGGGACATATAAAAATATTGTGTATTATATTTCGGTTAATATTCATTTAACTACTCAATAATTTTTTTAAAAAACCCATAGAAAACATTTTTAAGCCAGAAAAATGGTTAAAAAATGACATTTTATAACCTAAAAGTTTGTTCATTCATTTACAATTATTCTTACATTTACTTAATGCAAAGTCAGTCTTCTTTGAGCTCTTATTTTGGTCTCCGTCTGAAGGAGCACCATCAGGTAACTGTTAATGGACAGGTAGCTTAGCGAGAATTTATTCCAGTGCTATCACTGAAAACTAAAAAAAAACCCACAAAAAATGCTGAGAATGAACCAAATTTAAACTACAGCTTTCCACAACGATACAGTATAGTTGTGAAAAACTGCACAGTCAAGTAAATATTCTGTGAGCTCATCACTTTAAGTGTACACGTTTACGTTAAACATAGCTGATTTATGCACTGTTAACACAAAAATATTCATTACAGCTGCTTTATTCTTTATCAAACCATCATAGTCTTTTGAGAATATGGACAAAAAGGCAGCATGGTTTATAGATGGAAATAAAGGCACCAGTAAATTAAACCGAACGTCAGCTTATAAATACAGTGGGGCAAAAAAGTATTTAGTCAGCCACCGATTGTGCAAGTTCCCCCACTTAAAATGATGACAGAGGTCAGTAATTTGCACCAGAGGTACACTTCAACTGTGAGAGACAGAATGTGAAAAAAAAATCCATGAATTCACATGGTAGGATTTGTAAAGAATTTATTCGTAAATCAGGGTGGAAAATAAGTATTTAGTCACCTCAAACAAGGAAAATCTCTGGCTCTCACAGACCTGTAACGTCTTCTGTAAGAAGCTTTTCTGTCCCCCACTCGTTACCTGTATGAATGGCACCTGTTTGAACTCATCATCTGTATAAAAGACACCTGTCCACAGCCTCAAACAGTCAGACTCCAAACTCCGCCATGGCCAAGACCAAAGAGCTTTCGAAGGACACCAGGAAAAGTATTGTAGACCTGCACCAGACTGGGAAGAGTGAATCTACAATAGGCAAGCAGCTTGGTGTGAAAAAATCAACTGTGGGAGCAATCATCAGAAAATGGAAGACATACAAGACCACTGATAATCTCCCTCGATCTGGGGCTCCATGCAAGATCTCATCCCGTGGGGTCAAAATGATCATGAGAACGGTGAGCAAAGATCCCAGAACCACACGGGGGGGACCTGGTGAATGACCTGCAGAGAGCTGGGACCAAAGTAACAAAGGTCACCATCAGTAGGTGTCCTGAAGCGGGGGGAGAGCAATCCTGCAGCAGCGTTCTGCTGTACGGATCACTCTTTGGAGAGCTTTTTGGTCCTTCACACAGCTGTTCCCAAACCACGATGTCATGTTCTGTGTGAGGATGCTCTCCACAGCGCCTGTATAGAAAATCCTGAGGATCTTTGGAGAGACCCTGAACTTCCTCAGTTGTCGTAGGTGATACAGGCGCTGCCTAGCCTTTTTGGTCTGGACCTGAATGTAAGCAGCCCATGTCAGGTCTGAGGAGATGTGGACACCAAGATACTTGAAGGACTGCACCCTCTCCACTGGAGCTCCATTGATGATAATGGGCTTGTAGTCTCTGTGCTGACCCCTTCTGAAGTCCACCACCAGCTCCTTGGTCTTGCTGACGTTCAGCTGGACAGAATGGACAGAATGAATGGGGCCATGTATCGTGAGAGTTTGAGCCAAAACCTCCTTCCATCAGTGAGAACTTTGAAGATGAAACGAGGCTGGGTCTTCCAACATGACAATGATCCAAAACACACCGCCCGGGCAACAAAGGAGTGGCTCCGTAAGAAGCATTTGAAAGTCCTGGAGTGGCCTAGCCAGTCTCCAGACCTCAACCCCATAGAAAATCTGTGGCGGGAGTTGAAAGTCCGTGTTGCTAAGCGACAGCCTCAAAACATCACTGCTCTCGAGAAGATCTGCATGGAGGAATGGGCCAAAATACCAGCTACTGTGTGTGCAAACCTGGTAAAGACCTATAGTAAACGTTTGACCCCTGTTATTGCCAACAAAGGTTATGTTACAAAGTATTGAGTTGTATTTTTGTTATTGACCAAATACTTATTTTCCACCCTGATTTACGAATAAATACTTTACAAATCCTACCATGTGGATTCATGGATTTTTTTTTTCACATTCTGTCTCTCACAGTTGAAGTGTACCTCTGGTGCAAATTACTGACCTCTGTCATCATTTTAGGTGGGGGAACTTGCACAATCGGTGGCTGACTAAATACTTTTTTGCCCCACTGTACTCTTTCCAGCAGGATGAAATTGAGAACGCTGGACACATGTGAGGACACTGTCCTGCAGCGCTAACACTCTTGCTGTTGCACTGCCTCTCCGCAGTCCCCAGCGATGAGTGATATGATGGAGTCTTTACCTGAGGCTATCTCTCCCCATGCACAACTAGTCGGAACTGAACTGCAAGGGCAATGAGGAGAGACGCCCCGTGGCTCCAAACAAAGGCAAAGGCTTCCAGCAGTAATCGGAAACTATCGTCTCTCCTCACGCTGCTTAAACCTGCAACCCCTGCTCAGTTATGATGACACTGCCATTTAATGTCCTGTTAACAAATATGCCCTGTATCAAAGGAAACTGGATTGATTTGAGGGGCAGCTCTGTCAACCGCTCCCCAAGGTCACTCTGCCAGCATTTTGCAAAAAAAAAAGGAAAGAAAAATAGGGCAGGATGTAAGAGTTGAAGCATTAAAAATTGCTGAGGACTGGCCTGGAGTCTGTCCAAGACAAAGTTAGAAGTACTTCACAAATCAATGCCTGCTCTCTGCATCCCCCACGCTTCTTTTATGCTCTGAAATGACAGAATGTAGTGCAAGCATTCTTTTTTTGAAACATCTGGTGTCAATATTGGAGCTTAACTTCAAAGAAATTACTGATAGCATTCTGCTCCCTTCAGTCAGAGATCTAGCATCTATTTAAGGCTGTGTTCTGCAGCTTCGAGATATGAGGTTTAAGTGAAGGGTAAAGATGTCCAAAAGGGGCCAAAGATGGGATGGCTTCGAGTGGAAAATGTGTGTAGATAAGCAGACAAAAAAAGAACCCTGAAAAGAAAAATGGCATACCGACAGTTGCGACGGTGTCGTCCTTGCCCTGGGTGAAGACCACCACTCGCTGCCTCTTCGTGTTCTCCTTGGGGAGGTTTTGGGTTTTCTTTGCAATCTCTGCGATGTCGTCTGTCTGTGAAAAACACCAGACCACCGGGTGAGAATGTGTTGAGTCGAGCGAATGCAACATGAGGAGCAATTTCTGAAGAGTTAATCAAAGATCACGCGTGTGACTGAGAGAGGTCAGATTTTTCCAATCCAGGCAGACACATCAAAGTGATAATGAAACCAGATGGGCTGTGAACCCATTTTGAAACAGATCAATAGGGACGCTCAATGAGGCTTCCACGCACTTACTGGAGAATTGCGAAAATATTAGAATGTCATATTCCCTAAGTGAGATGAAAATAAGCGTGTTAAGATATGCTGTTGTCAGATAAAGCTACTTCTGCAAGCTGAAGGGATAGGTGGTGCGTGTACTGTATCATTCTCTTCCTGAAACAGGCCATCTCTCCTCAGCATCTGCACTGAATGGATATTCTCGCCTGGAGACGACAGAACTCTCCAGAGTGCTTGCCTTTGATCATGAGAGGGATAAAAAAACCCACACCTGTCAGTGCTACTTTATTATTAACTCATCATGATGTACTATGAGCAGGTAGAACGTCTTTATCGCCGTCTCGCAGTGGGGTGGACTGCTTTTCTGTAATACAGCACACTGAGGAGCTAGCATTAGGGATACTAGATGCCTCTAGCATCTGTATCAAAGCGAACGCTTGAGCACCTTCAGGGGTGAGCAAATACTGTGATTATGGGAGTAATCAGAAAGATAGGCTCCAGCCCAGTACCACCAGGCTCACTGGCTCACTCAAACCAATGAGCTTTTTACACCTTTAAATGCTTCCCAAACGTCCTTTAATCAGGCCTGAGAGGTCCAGGGAGACCCAGGGCTGAGGAAAAATGGGTGTAACACTCTAAGTAAGTGCTAATGGTGAGGTTAATACAGAGGCCGTTAGCAGACGACGGCGAAAAAAAAGAGCAATTTGTCACTGTGACTGGATGTAACCACAAGCACTCCTCCAGACACTGAATGCAAAACCACACAAGGCTTCGGCACATTGTCACCCTTGGGTTTTATGTTCACTGACATAAAAAAAAGGGGCTCCACTGAGCTTTTAGGAGCTAAAATGTTCTAAAGGCCAGAGGTGGTAGGGCACACAATAACACAAACACAAGTTTACAAAAAAAGGAAGAAAAGAAGTGCCACATGGCTCTGAAGGCTGATTCAACAGGTGCTCTTCAGTAAAATGATATTTTAAGTTTACTTTTCAAGCAGTTCAGCAGGAAAAGAAACCTCACACGACTCTTCATTAGGATCTGACAAAGACGCAATCAGTCAGCCAACACCCATGACATGGTACGCAACCCATAGAAATAAAAGAAAATATCCAATCCATGTTGAAAAAAATCACAATAAGTGCTTTGCAAAATAAATAAATTAGTGCTTTACACTTTATTAGTGCTGGTTTGATCCCAGAAAAAGCCACCAAACCATCAAGAACTGCCTCAGGAAGGGCGTCCGGCACATCTGCAGATCCAATATATGTAGAGCTACCTGTGTGAATGTGTGAATAATGGAGCAGCTGAAAGTAGCTTTAGTATCAACAAAAGTAAATCTGTAAGGTAAATAAGTTGTGTGCTACATACATAAAATAGTAAAAAGGGTGTAAATGTTTTCTGTAAAGAGTTTTGTTTTACAAGGTGTTTCATTCCTAAGCTTATCACACTAAATGTGTCAAATGGAAACCCAGCATATCCAACTTTATCACATTGGAAGCTATCGTTAAAGCTACGCTAAAGTGCTAGTGTTTAAGTTTTCAAAGTATCTTCCAACTACTAGTCAGAAAATAAACTACCAAAAAAAATTAAAAATGCAGAAAATCTACCTTGTTGTTCAGACTTGAAAGCTTACTGGCCTGCAGTGTTACAATCCACAGTGTTTCTTGTTGAAGGAGGTTTTTTCAGTCTATCACCAGCTCCCATATAGATAACTATCACTTTTAGAGTGAGCACTTTTATAGCAAAGCCACAAAGAGGGGGGTCAAGGGTGCGATCAGCTTCTTTAAACTCGCCCAGTAGCAGTGATGACGAACACGGCAGTCACTGCAGCTCAAGTTTGTGTCTTTTGGAAACAAACCAACAGATGACTAAAAGACAAGACAGGAAGCTGTGAGTCTCGCTACTGGTCCACTTTCGGACACGTGATTTAGAAATAATTTTCTAATTGAATGTTTACTTCCCTACATATTTTGAGATTTCATCCTTTAGTATAAAAAACTTTTGACATGCTACAATTGGATCTCCTGGGTTAGCCTTTACACGTACAAGCACACTTAACTTAACTTCCTCCTTTCTGCCAGGCAGAAACCCTTACCTGACAAGCTCCCGGGGCAAAACGATACAGAAAAATAACGTTCAGCGCGAGTGCAGACAAATGACTTGACAAATGATATGGTCAATTTGGTTTACTACTGACAAATGGCAATATTTACAATTGTGAGGCAATTGATCAGACATAAATCAACAAACCGTGAAATATGAAAGCTCTACAAGGGTGTTAAATTGTGTTTCTGTGTTGAAGCCAGTGAGAAACTGATCGTTTCCACTGCATGCTGCTTGAGAAACACTGCGAGGGAGAGATTCAATTAGAGCTGTGATGCTGAGTTCTTTGAGCATTTAAAGGAAACAGATCACAATCAGGCGACTGTGTTCAGATCTGCTGATTGCTGTTTTGGAGAGGAAAGCTTTTTATCTTGTGTTTAAGCTGAAGAAGGGCTGCTGTCATTTTTGTTAGTCATCCATAATGTGATGATAACAGTGTTTCGGGATACATGTGGCGCTTTAGGGTCATAGAATCCAATTATAGTTCCCGACCTTCCCCAATTAACCTGGACTTTTACTGAACTTCAATCGACCTCAGTGGCCTTCATGTTTCGTTTCAGACAGCAAGTCTAACTTTTTGTCTTCTTTGGAGTCGGCAAATGTTAAAGAACAAATGTTTTTGGCTATAAGACTAAAATAAAAAACTACAAATGATAGAATATAATAATAAAATAATTGTAAGGTAAAAATGATTGTTTGAATATTGATGTTTTCAAGAAAACCTACTCTGCTTTGAACACAAGCCAACTTTATTTTACTTTTTAAAGCAATTCAAACCATTAGAATATGGTTAACAGGTGGTTTTCTATGGCATCAGAGGCTGCCACTGAACTATGAATCGAACAAATGCCTTCTGCTGCTAAAGGCAATCGGATAAGGCTGAAAGCTCTTCAAAATTTCTGGTAAGTGGATCTTGTAAGACTTGTAAGACTTTTTTAATCTAATTACTTGTGGAAGCTTATAAAGGAGTCTTAAAATTAATTTATTTAATTAATATATGACATTTTAAATTATGGAGACCAGAAAAACCTAAAAAAGTAAATAAATAAATACAGTAAGTAGTTTAAAAAAATTTGTTATTAATATCCCAAAATCCATCAAAATATATGATAAAAAATCTTTCTAAAAATAATAATTAAAAAAAGCATAACTATCATGGTATTAAATATATAAAACGAGACTTAAATTATATTTCCGTACTTTAGTACAATATTTGTTCATAACCTATATGCATAGTTTGAATAACGAGTAAGTATAAATGTAAAAACAAAAAATGATAAGATTATTAATTGGGTTTTTTTATTAGCATTTAGTTTAGTTTTTTTTTATAATAGAGTAGAGTAGAGTAGAGTAGCCATTTATTGTCATTGTACATGTACAAGGAAACTGTGAAAATTATGGAGTTTTTCGAAATTTTTTGGGCCGTTTTTGACCTCTATACATTATGTAAAGATGACAAAACATATCCATATGAACTCATACAGGTGTACTGTGTATTTGCAAAAAAACAAATTTCCTCCGCTAACACTGCCTTAACAATTAATCCCCCATCTCCGGGTTGAATCAAAGTTTTACAGGCTAAAACTGTGCATATTCATATTTTTGAGGACTTGCCAGGGTATGACTGGTCTACGGGAGCCGGCCTGTACCAGTAAAGTTTAAAACGGTCACCAGAAAGTGACGAGAGGAGAAAAAAAAAGCGGTGAAGAAAACATCTTTGAACCACAGCCATCTAGAAATGCGCCAAGTACAGTACACACCACCGATGTTATCTGAGAAATCACATTCATCCAATGCAATTTCGCAGAGTGTTCTGCCAAATCAGGTTGACACGGAAAATGTCAAAGAATTGTAACTACTAGGAGAGTCTTCACTTTGCCCTTTGTGGGGGTTTTTTTCCATGTGAGGCCGCTCCATTACTAACACCTCCCCAATTCCACCACCCCCCTACAGCACCACCACCTCCGCCTTCATCCCTTCTCCTCTCTTAAACCTGTCACTGCCATCAGGATTGCATTTCTATTCCAGTCACGTTGATCACACCGTTAGTGATTCTGGATGACAATTACTCACACAGAGCAGAGACATATTCAAGGCAGCGCTACCTCTGAAAGAGAGAAGGCACTTAAAATACCTGAGCCCATGTGAAGGGAAGAAAAAAAAGCCTCGCATATCGGCTATTTGTGTTTTGATTTTTGCATTTAAATAGCAATGGAAGGAATATGCAAAAACACGAGGAAAAAATAGACTAAGGGAACGTTCACTTTACACTTAAGAGGCAGCCCCACGTTAAAACACACCGTGCTTTCTGTAATCTTCATTTCCATAATCCAAAATCACAGGTGGCTGTAATTTGGTTATTAAAAGACGACGGTGCGCGCTCAGTGTAGTGTAATGCTATGGCAGTGAAGAGGAGACATACAGTATGCGATCCCTGAGTGCAATGAAGATAATGAGGAGGCTTTTTAACCAGGCAACCTGATGAGCCCCACGCCTGCAGAGAAAAGCTTGAAACCATGCCCAACTTCTCAGCTTCCCAAGAGGCTTTTCAAAATTCAATAAATAACATCTGTAGGCGATGTTGGGTGCAGACCTAGCAGAGTGCGTCATAACAGAGAGCTGGCTGAACAAAGAAACCATGACGACTGCCAGGTTTCCATAGCAACTGCTGCAAGGCCTGGAGAGTATAATAGCACATCAATCACTGTCCAAAAAGAACTTCATTATCAGCAAAAATAAACCTTTAGGATCTTTTTAGTGTGCAATTGCTGGTCAACTCACCTCAAAGCCCAGCTCTTTGGCAAACGTGGCCGCCTCCTGGAAAAGATAAGACACAGACAAATGAGCAGTTAATTACAGAGTCACAAACAGAGCACAGTGTCGCACACCAGACGTGAAGTAAAGACATCTCGCTTCCCTCCGCTCCTCGCATGTCTGGCCATTTTCACTTGAGAATAAGTAACCTGAGTTAGTGTTGTTCTGCCAACTCCTGATTTAATAGGCGTGCAGCCCACCCATTTAAACTACAGCCTGACATCATCTCATCTTACCAGAGCAGCGTGAGATAACACCCCATCAGCCTCCAGCCTTGAAACCATCACTGAAACCATGAATATGTGCTAGTGTGTGGGAATCCCCAACACTGCAGGCATTCAGCGCCCACTTTATGTTGCTTTAGTCTCCTAACAGGTGCACTTAAACGTTTATGCAGGCTGTAGCGAGTTAATCGCGAAAACCGCTCACTGACGCCGTTTCATAGTTTAATGTAGTCTCCCAGTGGTCGCAGGTACAAGCTGGTGTTAGTAAAAAAAAATCTAAAAATAATACACTTATAGCATTACAGGGCTCACAGAAACATTTAAAGTTTACTTCTATAACAAAGTATATTTAACAGCTAAATACACTGTAAAAAAAACATTTTAATGCATTCTCTGTAAAATTACAAATCTAAAAATATATTTAAATTTAATACATAAAACAATTAAAACCAATGGAAAAATATATACGGGAACAACTTCAAAGTAAAACCTTTTAAGTATCTAAATAATGTTTTATATTATATAAAAGAGATAAATCACCAACTGAATGCCAAATGAACCATATCTGAAATGGGCATCGGCTGGAAAATGAAAATATACATTAAAAAAACCCAAAAAAATTAACCAATAAATGATGCATTTAAATACACTCAGAAAAGCAGTACTAACTACTGCTATAATTGATTCGTCATATTGTGCAGTCGTTAATGTAAAAAAACAATGAAGCTGTCTTCCAAGAACATGAACATTATCTGCAGTGTGGTAAGCTGTGATGTACAACATGTGAGTAATAAATAGGCCGTGTTACGATCCTCTAACTGATGACAGAAGCCGTTGCCTGTCAGCTCCGAACGATGTCACAAATTGTGACAGACAACCTCCTGCACTAAATTCACTTCTGACCCCAGACAGGATAATAAGTTGATGCTATGATTCTAAATAATCCAATTATCTGCAGGAGGAGGGTGTGTATGGGAGGGGGTGTGGTGTTTGTGTGACCTTGGGGAGAGGTTGACAACCTGGTCCTCAAACAGAAGGGGAGGAGATGACATGGAACAATAAGGTTACTGGTCCCTGGAGGAAAGCCTCATGGCTCCCTGGCTTGGATCAACATCACAGCACCAGCAATATGTCAATTCATCACCCCACCCTGCGCCCCTCACACACACAGGCTAGACAATTAGCTGCTGTAGTCGAGAAGCAGTTCTGTAATCAGCAGAAGGTAGTGTTCTCTTTTAACCTCTCTTTGCCTTTTCAATCTATCGAGGGCTTGGGTCTCACATTTATTTTCCTTTATTTACAACCACATATTGACTTTTCTCCTCAGGAACGCTCCATCACCAACTAGCACGAGGCAACGCGCAGGGACAAGAGCAGCCTGGAAAAATGTCTTGTCAAAACAGCAATATTTCATATCAAAGCATTTAAGAGACACACGAGTGAAGGCTGGAATAACTATAGTGCTGCCGAGCAGTGCATGGCTCTGCCTCTCTCTCTCTCTAGTTAGCAGCTATAATATTTGTGAGAAAAGCCTATCGAGAGAGTGTGGGTGTAAGAAGAACAGATAATTGAAGCAATGTCTATGAGCCACATGTGTACAGTGTAATCCCTTTTAGGAATTTATTAATTTCTAGTTGTTATGAATGCCAGCTTCAAAAATATGTTGCGCTGTAAAGCTCGGCTAAAACTAATATACTGCTATGATAAATATTGCATGGCGGTAAATATGCAATTACCGAGACTACCCATACAGCCAATAAAACTGGAGCGATGGGCAATTAAAGCCACTGTTCCTTAAGGAGCTTATAGCGTTAATATTCAAAAATCTTATGTTTCAGGCTGCGCGTGTTGACATGTGCTGTTTTGGGATGTTGTGGTAGACGGTTTTTAAAATGACGGCCCATGTGCTTCTACAGCTGTTGCAGCAATGACAAGTGCTTGGAGTGACATCTGGGCGAAATCCTCTCGTGCTCGAAAGAAAGGAGGGGGAAAAGAAAAGGCATCTCGTTTGTTCGGAGATTGCTGTGATTGCACGCTCGCCTTTCATGATCTCCTTCGAGTCCGATTCCAAAAAAGAGAGACAGAGAGAGAGGACTCTTGCAGATCTCAGGGCTTGCATGTTCTCCTCCTTCTCCTCTTCGGGCAAACAAGGTAAAAGATAACAAAGCAGGCAGAGTGCATGAGCCCTCTGCAGCCATAGTTAGTATAAAGCTATCAGAATGTGTGAGATGTTGCTGCTGTCAGAGGCTTAAACAGTCAAAGGGATATTTTTAGAGAGCTTAAGCTAATAATCCAGAGCCCCGTCGGGGGGGTGGCGGGAGTCTACAATTTCTTTGCCAAGCAAAATGAAAGAGGAAATACACACTTCATGCAAAGGGCAGTTTTCAAAGTTTAACACTTTGTTTTTTATGACACTGTAAGTGACAGGAGCCTAGCGGGCCTTAAACAGTCAGAGCAGAAGCTGTATGTTGCATATTTTCTGTGAAGTTATTTATATCGTATAGACATTTTTCCCCCTCCCTCCTTTTAATGAAGTTAAACTGCTGATTTTGCATTCAATCTGAGAAACCTGCAGTCAACTGCAATTTCTTTTGTCGCCTGGGGGAAGTGAACAAGCTATGAACATATTGTTAGCAAAAAAGTAAGTTATTTACATAGCCCATAGACAGAGGACAATTTCCAGTATTTGGAATCATATATCGGCCACAAGAATGTAATCCTCTGCTTTTAGCTCAGTTTTGGCCTCTACCAGCTTATTGTAGAAATGTCTGGCTCTTGGGATGCTACATTAATTTAATGAAATAGTTGCTGTAAATAGGCTCTGGTGTTATTTTTTTCAGTTGTGGAGCAACGTGTAAAACGTGTAGGTTTGGGTAGATGGTTGGGGAACAAAGATAATAAGTGAAAAAAAAGTGCTGAAGGAAACTGCAAAGTTGAATAATAATTTTCCATTTGTTCACCATTATGAATGAAACCTAAGACTTTATTCTTTCTTTATTCCGTTAGAGTTTCCTGATCAATTTTACCTTTTAGGGTAAAAAAAGAGGCCTAGACAAGCTTTCAGAATCACCACAGTCATCTTTGTTTCTCTGAATAGAACAAAAAAAACTTTTATAAGTGTATTTTTTTTTTTTTTTTTGAAGATTTCTATTTATTTAAAGTTCCTTTTAGTAATGTACACGTCAATAAAAAACCTGGGGGCAAAACAAATTCCACTCTGTAATTTCCCTCCTCCAGTTTATGGATCAAATATGGAATTAATCACGTTTTCTGTATTTGTGTGCGAATGTAACTGATACATATTTCTCTTTTTCTACTCAGTCCATATCTTAATATAAATGTTGTATACAGTATGGTTTATGATGATCCTGATGAAGGCCAAGTTTGTTCACTCACCAAACACTTTATCATGCACACCTTAACAATACCGCATCAATTTTTCAGATGAACTGGTGCTAAAAAGATGCTCTGAGATTTTGGTCATTATTGACATGGTAGCAACACACAGTTGCTGCAGATCCACGATGCCAATCTCTTATTTCACCACAACCAAGAGGTGCTCTATTAGATTGATATCCAGTGAATGTGGAGGCCACTTGAGTATAAAGAACTTATCATCTTCAAGAAATCAGTTTGAGATGATCTGAGCTTTGTGACATGGAAGCAGCCATCAGTAGGTGAATACACTGTGTTCATACAGATGGACATGGTCAGCAACATACTCTTTAAACTGTGCCTACTTTGTACCAATGGGTTCTAACTGAGCCAAGTAAACATCCCCTACATCTTTACACCACCATCTACCTAAACTGTTGATACAAGCCATCCTTTAATGTTGTTTATACCAATTTCTGACCCTACCAACTCAAACTGGGGCTTGTCAGACCAAGCAATGTTACTATTTGCAAATAATTCCCTGTTCCCAGCAAATACGAGATAAACCCATCGTAGTCTTCTGCTGCTTTAGCCCATCAGCTTCAAGGATTGACATGAGATGCTCAGAGATGCTCTTCTGCATGCCCTGGCTGTAACAAGTATTTGCTTGAGTTGCTTTTGCCTTCTTATCAGCTCACTGCGTGTGTGGATATTTTTCTTTGATCATCATAAAGACATTTTCACCCAAAGAACTTTTGCTCCCTGGATATTTTCTCTTTTTCAGATGATTCTCTTTAAGAATGGATGTGTGGAAAAATTGATTTGCATTAACCAGCAGTTGTAACTAATAAACTGGCAGTTAAGCGTGTATACTACAGGTGTTGCTAGACCTCATAATGAATTTGATTCCAAAAGATTGGACAATTTGGAACCGGTTCTCAATTCCTATCCTATCCAAATCATTTAATGCATTGCCAGTTAAAGTACCACTACATATAAGGACACCCAAGAGAAAAGAAATTAATAAAACTGTCTGAGTCGTTAGCTTCCAGGATAAAATATTCCCAGTAGAAAAAAAAACACCAAACAAAAAGCAAGTAGTGAGGTTTTTTTCTCCTCTGTGTAACAAGTTGTCGAGCATATGTCACAGCAGGAGTGCGTCAGGGAAAAAAAAATCCAATTTCAGTGTTTTAAAGAATCTAAATCAAAGAGCAAACCTCAGTGCTAAGGTTAATAAAAGTTGATAAGCTGAAAAGCGAACTCCCCCAGGCTACTCAGAAAATAAGCATTTATTTGACCGTTAGCCCAAGCGATGCAGAGGCAGAAATTGAATTGTATTTGACGTTGTGGTTTTTTATTCCTGGGTGCAGCCCTGACAAGTTTTTCACACCAAAACCTCTGTTT